GCTAGGAATAAAGGAGTGTACCGCCACTGCCTGGCTGGTCTTCAGTTTTAACTCCAATATCTGTCTCTGAGTTTTTATTATTCATGCTACATAGATCCACCTGCCTTTGTCTCTTGAGTACTGGAATTAAAAGCATATACCACTACACTCCTCTTAGAATTTTTTTTAGAACAAGGTCTCTTGTAACCTGAAACTGTACTTGTACCCAAGATGGTTTTGAACTCCTGATCCTCCTGGGATCACAAGCAAGGGCCATCCCACTAGGTTTTGTTACCCTGGGGCTGGAATCCAGGGCTCCCTGCAGTGCTGTAGGCCATCCTTCTACCAGCCCCACTCTCTTACAGCTCTGGAAAGAAACTCAAGGAGATGCTTGATAAAGGCCTGTTGGTCTGTGGTGGCATGTGGGAAGAACCCAGACCAGGCTGTCTTCCAATTAGTCTTGTCCTTGTCCCTGTTGATAGTGAAGCAGGGAATGTTTGTCTTTGTTCTCTGAAGTTATCTGCTTTATTCCTTTTTGTCTCTGCCTCCTTCTTTCTCCACTGGATCTCTCTATTATGTAGCCCTGGCTGTCCTGGAACTAGCTATGTAGACAAAGCTGGATTCAAAGTCACAGGGATCTGTCTACCCCTGCCTGAGAGCTGAGAGCTAAGCTTCAACTCTAGCACATCCATCTTCCTCAAATCTCTATGAAGTGCTTCCATACTCTTTAAGTTTTCAAGGCTGAGCTGGATGATTACATGTATATGGTGGTACCAGGAAATGAATCCAGGACCTTTTACTTGCTAGGTAAGTATTACTCTACCACTGAGCTGCAGCCGGAAGATCATCCTTGGAGGGAATGCCCTCAGAGTCAGAGAGTAAAGAACTCCATGGCTACCTGACTCCCAAGGTAATGTGCTTACTCATCCAAACTGCCTTCCAGAGTCATCATCCAACTATAGTTATTTACCAGGCTGTCTTCCACTAGTTTACACACTTTTCCTCCCACACTTCTAGGATACTCCTGGTACACACACAGTAAGAAAGAAAAGCAGGTGGGGTACGAAATAGATGGAAACTTTGGATTCTGGGCTAGGGAACAAGATACCTTTGGGCCTTTGTCAAGTGTCTCTTTCAGCCAAGACTGTGAGAAGGGGTAGAACCATTACCATAGACCTTTCCCCACCCCAGCCTTTGCCTCGGTACTAGTGCCCTCTACTGAAAAGCGACAATATGCAGGAGATCAGAAGGTTCGCAAATGCTGCAGATGGGGCTTCTCATCAGCTCACTGCTGCCACCTGCTGGTGGTGAACAACATTGCTGATACTTATCTCATCCAGGCTCTAGATAGGGAGATCTGTTCTGTAAAAACCTCTTTGAACACTGAACACTGCCCTGTTCTCCAAGATCTTTTTTTTTTTTTTTAATTATTATGAAGTCCCTTGTCATTCTCACTCACAAAGTACTTTGACATTCCTGATGTTCCAACACACTGCGCTTATCTAGACCAAGTGAAGTTTTTGTTTCTTTAAACATTTATTTGTGTATTGTGTGTAGACATGTGTTTGCCACTGTGTCTGATGACCTGAGTTAGATCCCAGGAGGAAGGAGAGAGCAGATGTTGAACCCTGAGTTCACATGTGTATCTTGATATAAACACACATACACTAAATAAATTAATAAAGTACAAATCTTTTTTTTTTCTAAAAAGAAACAACAAGTAATTTCTTTAAAAGTTTCTGTGGTTTTATTATTTCTGTCTTGCTATTCTTCAAGCTTAGCACTTGTGGGTACCACTGGGAACTACACTACAGAGGATGGGTACAACAATACAGACTGCCCCCCAACAAAGAAGAATATTCCTAATATAAGCCTACAATCCCTATTTCATCAATGACTTACTATATTATATGAATTGGTCTTGCCTAGGAGTCTATACTTAAGGAACCAAAAATAATATCCAATCCACCCCCCATACTTCCTTTTTTTTTTTTTAAATTTTATTTATTTATTTATTTATTTATTTATTTATTTATTGAGAAGAGTTTTTCTGTGTAGCTTTGGAGCCTGTTGCAGAACTTGATCTGTAGACCTGGCTGGTCTCAAATACACAGAGATCCGCCTGTCTCTGCTTCCCAAGTTCTGGGATTAAAGATGTGAGACACTACAGCCCAATTTAAACTTTTATGTTGTTGTTCTTCTTTTTTAAAACAGTCTCACTCTGTAGTCTGGGTTGGCCTTGAACTTGTGGCAATTTTTCTGCCTTAGTCTCACGAATGCTGGAATTACAGATATGTACTACCAAGCCCTGCTTCATGTGTTTTGTTTTTACAGTTTGAAATTTACTTTGCTTTTGACACAGGATCTCACAATGTAACCCTCACTGGCCTGGAACTCACTATGGACTCAAACTCATAAAGATTGGCGTGCCTTTGCCTCCACAGTGTTGGGATTAAAGGCTTTCCCCTGGCTTCTTGTTTGTGAATTTGAGATAGGATCTCTTGTGTATTCAGACTGGCCTCAACTAAGATCCCCTTGCTTCAGTCTCATGAGTACTGGAACTACAGGCATATAACTGATTTTGTTGTTGTTGTTGTTGTTGTTGGAGACAGGGTTTCTGTGTTAGCCCTGGTTGTCCTGAAACTCCATAGACCAGGCTGGCCTTGAACTCACTGAGATCTTCCTGCTTCTGCCTCCCAAGTGCTGGGATCAAAGGTACACCACACTCACCTTTTACCCCCTCCTCCCACCCACAACATTCTCTCACTTAGTTTAGGCCTGCCTTGAATTCAGTATAGCCTTGGATATCCTTGAATTCCTTACCCTGCAGCCTCCATCTCCTGAGTGCAGAGATTATAGGCTTGTGACACTAAGATGCCTTCATAACATTTTCCCTTGTGAATCATAATGGTATCCCCAGCTCCAAGAAAATGACTTCACCTCTAAGAAATACCTCAAAGCTACAATCTCTACCATTTGTTCAATTCTGTTTTAGAGGCTTTTAAGAAGAGTCACCTTGAATTTAACTAAATATCTTAGTAATGTCTATTGAATTTATGTGCTTTTTTTTTCTTGTTTAACATATTAGTGGACCCAGCATAAACCAAACAAAGCAGTGTAATGACCTTCGGGCAGCTCGATTAGCTTCAGTTTTTCTTGTGACCTTATGTCCATTCCTCTATCCTTCTATAGTAATATACAGCTCAGACCTCTGGAACTTTTCAGTTTCACATACTTCCTCCAAACCAGTGAGACATTCCAAGAAGCAGAAGGCTATGTGTTGAATATTATTTTAACTAGGTAAAGATGTGTTACATTTGTTTATGCTGCAGAACAGAATATTACTTAAACTGTAGAAAGGTGTTTTACTTTTGTTTATGGTGCATTTGTTTAATGATATAAGGTGTGTGTTTAATTATGTAAAGATGTGTTGCATTTGTCTTACTTGTCTAGGCACCTGATTGGTCTAAGAAAAAGCAGAATGGCCAATACCTAGGCAGCAGAGGGATAGGAGGGACTGCCAGGCAGAGAGAATAAATAGGAGGTGAAATCTAGGCAGATGCCATTAAAGTATGTCACCAGTCAGTAACATTTGGTGGATGTGTTCATCAGTGCCTGATTCTACCCAGAGCTTCATGAAAACTTAAGGCTCATGAATGTGGCGTCAGGTCTCTCAGGGAGCATATGGCAATCATGCAACACAGTCACCAAGGATACCTTCCAGGACAACATAGAAGCCCTGCCTGGCTATCCTGGAAACTCACTTGTGCTGGGGTTAAAATAGATCCACTGGCCTCTAGGACAATACATCAGCCCAGTCTGGACATGCAAAAGAAGACACTTCATCACCCTAACATAAGAAGGAAGACTCCTGCTTCACTCGGGTGATACAAGTCCTAAGAGGCCTTGTGGAGTCGGGGTGGGGGGGGAGAAGGAGGAGACTGCCACAATCTGAGGGTGAATCAGGATTCTGCCAATAGCATTTCATTGAGAAAAGATTCCACCTTATAGTCGAACCTAGGATTAAATGGGAGATGAGGGGAATGTGAACTGGGGTGTGACTTGAGGTCAGGGGTTGAGGAGTCTAACAATAGACACCAGGCATCACATGCTTTTTGTCTTTGGGTTTTTTGTTGTTGCTGTTGTTTGTTTTGCTTTTTTGTTTTGTTTTGAGACATGGTTTCTCTGTGTGGCCTTGGCTGTCCTGGAATTCATGTGTTTGACCAGGCTGGCCTTGAACTCACCAAGACACACCTGGCTCTGCCTCCCCAGTGAGTGAGGCTGGGATTAAAGGCATGCACCACCCACTACTGCCTGGCTACACCAGTCATAAGTTAATGGAAGGGCCACTGAGTTCCTCCCAAGGGAATGAACTGATCTGGGGAATAGAACTTCTGGGGAGCAGATGCTTAGCTAAATGTCACTGCTGTTTCTCTCCCTTCTCCTGACTCACCCAAAAGGGAAGGTTCTGACATCTCAGTCTTCTCTTAGGATAACTACCATTCTGATTTCTCTGTATTTATTAATTAACTGAAATTTTACCTTTCATGGGCCCAGGCTCCCTTGGGCTCCTCTGCATCTGAATTGTAGGCTGGCTATCAGGTATGTCTAGTAAATCTCTAGCGTTCCTATTCTTGGTGTCCTTAAGGAGGACACAGTGGAATTCCTGGTCCTCTGGTGTTGGGGAGTTTGTTTCTCCCCAAAAATAATTATTTTGTTTAGAGAGCCTAGGCTACCATTATACACATTTTTATCCTCTACAAAAGCCCACACAAAATTTCCCAAAGGGAAAGGCATTGATATCCACAACCATTAGGAATGAAAGTGCAAAGGTGCTGGACAAGTGTGGTCTGCAATGTTGAAATGTTGGCACTTCGTTAAATGGCAATGGTGACCAAGTGGTGGTCTACACCACGTCCCTTCCTCCTGATCCATATGCCCTCTTTCAATGCATACTCAATAATGTAAACAAGTGAATGAATAAATAAATGAAAATTTTTAAAAAATAAAAGAAGGGAGGAAACCCCTGGCAATGGGAAAAGAGACATCTTGTGATGGTGCTCTTATGTCAACCAGGGGCAGAGCAGATGGCAGTTTTTGTTCATCCTAGCTTGATGCCTGGCTTGGTGGCCAAAGCTGTTTCATGCCTAGGGCACACTAAAAAAAAAAAAAAAAAAAGAAAGAAAGAAAGAAAAGAAAGAAAGAAAAGAAAAAGAAAGGAGGAGCCGGCAGTGGTGGCACATGCCTTTAACCCCAGAACTTGGGAGGCAGAGGGTGGCCAGTCTCATTGAAATTGAAGCCATCCTGGTCTACAGAGTGAGTTCTAGGACAGCCAGAGCTAAATAATAGAGACCCTACCTCAAAACAGTTGGGTGTCATGCCTTTTCTCTTTCTATAGTTTATAGTTTTTATTTATTTATTATTTTGAGACAGAGATTCTCTGTGTAGCCCTGGCTGTCCTGGAACTCCTTCTGTAGACCAAGCTGGTCTCGAACTCACATAGATTTGCCAGCCTCTGCCTCCCAAGTGCTGGGATTAAAGACATGTGCCATCACTTCCAGACTATTTTTATGTGCATTGGTGTTTTGTCTACATGTATATCTGTGTGAGTGTGTTACACCTCCTGGAACTGGAGTTACTGATAGTTGTAAGCTGCTATGTGCTGCCATGTGCTGTGGGTGCTGGGAATTGACCCCTGATCATCTGGCAGAGCAGTCAGTACTCTTAACCACTGAGCCCTCTCTCTAGCCCCAGGTGACTCATGCCTTTAATATCAGCACTCAAGAGGTAGAGACTGGCTGACCTCTGAGAGTGTAAGGCCAGCCAGGGGTGGAATCCTATAAATAAATTCTCAAAGGAGCAACAGGGAGAGAGGAGGAGTGGCCTGTCATCAGAGAGGTTTCTTGATCCCCTGTCTGTTCTTGAGAGTCAGGCTAGTGTTCTGTTTTAGATCTTAGAATCCATGCAGTTGCCCATTTTTGCTTTCTTTGACTCTGGCTGTCATAAGTAAACCTCATGAATACCCTGTACTAATAGAAGCAACTAGAAAGTGCACTGAAAGAGGCACCCAAGGAGAAGAGTGTTAGCATCCTCCCAGGACCCAGGAGAGACTGATCAGACATAATAATCATCCAGAAATGGAATGAGGCACTAAATACTGTGCAGTTGGGCACATAGATGTCCCAATCTGTCCCCTTTGTCATCTAATAACTTCCTGCAGCACTGTCCCAGTAATTTGGATCCCTAAGGTCTCCTTTTGAGGCAAGGAAGGCCCAACGAGTGGTTAGAAGGGTGTGGGGTAGGGTGGAGATAGTGTGTGGTGATATCTATGGATGTGTTGGCTCTCTAAGACTCAGTCCTGTGGTTCCTGTGTCGCCATGAATGCCCATGGGTGTATGACTGTGGCATGTGGTGTGTGCCTATGTCAGTGTGTGTGTCAAGGCAGGGGGCTCCGTGTGGTGTACAAATGTGTTGGGAGGGGGGTGATGGTGAGAGCCTGGCTCCTTTGCCTCCACCCCCCATCCCTGCTCCCATCTGGCCTTGATCAGCGGGTCCCTGGGGAGGGAGCCGCGGTTTCGGATACAGGAAAATGTTCCAGGAAGCGGCCACTGTGCTGAACCCTGCTTGGGCTCCCCCAGCGGAAATTGTTCTAGGAGGGAGGAGAGGAGGGAGTGTTGAGATAGGATTAAGGAAGGAGGAGGGTGGCTCTTGGCTCCCCTCTGGGTAGGATAAAACTGAGTAAATTGATGGGAGGCTCGGTCAGCCAGGATCCTGGAGGCCACTACCTCCAATCATTCAATGCAAAACTGGGAACGAGGAAAAAAGGGTCCCCTTTTCTATTTATTCTCTCGAGATCATTTTTATAGCTGGGGACCCGGATACCAGGGTCTTGACTGAAAATGATTTGGCTTATCGAGGGGCAAAGGAGTCAGCCCCTCTTCTCTCCACACTGAAAGGGACTTTGAAGTGTCCAGGACTGAGAGGGATGCCTAATTGGGATAATGGAGGTTAATGGGGCGCCTGGAGGGGGTGGCCACGCTCCAAGATCAAAGAGGCCAGCTCTCCCCACCACCCGACCAACACAGCTGGAGGTCACAGCTGGAGGGGGAGGGGCAGGGGCTTAGAGCCAGCCAGCAGGGGGTGCTCTGGCCTCGGAATGCTTGTCTTCTGGTGTCTCAGGTTCCTAGGATCTGCTTTTGCCGAGAGCGCTTCTGAGGAAAGTAGGATAAGAGAAAGTGGAGTCTGAGTCCTCTTTCTTGGGAGTTGGGGGAAGAGGGAGAGGCAGGCAGTCAGCTTCAGGTCAACGGCATGTCAGCACCGTAGGTCGTTGTTGCAGGGTCCCAAAGCACTAGATCTAGATACAGTTTGGATAAAGCCAAGCAAGGCTGGAAGGCTGGACACCTACCCTGGGTTTATAAGGGAAGCTGAGAAAGACCCGGCTGGGCAACTTGGGGGTGCTGACTAGGACAGAGGGAAAGGGACACCGGCACTCCCCCGCCACCGCCCCCCTGCCCGGGTTGGCGCTCCCTCTCCGGCTCTAATCGGCGCGGCGGCCGCAGCGGGCAGAGTCAGCGCCGCCAGTCTCCGGGACGCGACTCCCAGCAATTGTGGTCGGGACCGCAGATATGCAGCTGCCTCCTGCCCGGGCGCCTGGCCCGGCCTGCCCCGCCTGCGCCCCGCCCCCAGCCGTCCCGCCCCTCGCCAGCCCGCGGAACCCGGACACCGAGGCGTGCAAAGAGGTCCTTGGCGGCCAGCGTAAGCGATGGGAGATGCCCCCATCCAGATCTCACGACTTTGTCCCTCTGACTGCATCTGTTTCTTCAACAGCCATAGTTGGAGGCTGAGGCTCACTCTTATACTTTCACTGGATGAACACCTCGTTTCGAGCCTCCACATGGAAAAAAAGTCGAACAGTGCTTTGAAATCCAGAGGGATAACCTACGGAGGCTGGTGGAGATGGGGGTGGTGGCAGACTCCGGGGACTCTCATTAGCAATGGCAGTAGGGAAAGTTTCTAAGCGAGGAGAAAAGGGGGGACAGAAAAGAGGAGAAACAGGGTAGGGAAATAGTTCTTTAGAGGGACTCCAACAGTTCAGGAGATGCCTGCTAGAATGCTGAGGGTAGACCCTCAGATACGGCGCCTGCCCCTCTCTCCCTTTGGAGACCAGAGCCGCTGGCTGTCCAGGGCCATTCTCAGAATTGGACTGTAAAATCTGTATGCCTGCTGGTCAATCAGGCTGGTTCTCCTTTCCATGTTATTTCCCCCACACTTTGAGGAAACCAACTCTGTTGCCTTAGAGCACATCTCACCTGTGGCTTGGTCTGATGACACAATCACTTTCTCATCTCCAGTTTTGCCCTTCACCAACCTATGACAACACTAACAGGTATCATTTATGAAGCAAATACTAAGTGGTGGACACTGTTTATAGTTACAAGGGCTAGAGGTGTAATCCAGTGGCAGTTAAAGGTGGTGGCTCACACCTTTCTAATTTTTTGTGGATTTTTAAAAATTACTTTTATTAGAGGGGTGCATTGTGCCACAGTGCATTGTAGGGGTCAGAGGATGACTTTCAGGGGACAGAGAGTCAAAGAAAAGAACTCTGGTTTGATGGCAGATACCTTTACCCACTGAGTCCTATTTCTAAATGTCGTAACAACTCTGGGAATTTAGTGTCTTGTTTCCTGTTTCTACAGAAGAAGCATCTTGGGCATCATAGGTTAAACTAGTTTGCCCAAGCTTGCAGCAGAGTAAATCACTGATTGACCCAGAATGTCTGGCTCTAAGACACTATTTCATTATCATCTCTGCAGCCAGAGTTATCTTTCTTTTCTTTCTCTTCTTTTTATTATGGTTTTTCGAGACAGGGTTTCTCTGTGTAGCCCTGCTGTTCTGGAACTTTCTCTGTAGACCAGGCTGGCCATGAACTCACAGAGATCCACCTGCCTCTGCCTCCTGAATGCTGGGACTAAGGTGTGTGCCACTAACACCTGTGGCTAGAACCATCTTTCTAATATACATTTCTATATGCTGTTCTTGGGGTCAAGTTCAGATACCTTGCAGGGCTGACGAGACATTTCCCACCATCCTTTCCACCCCCAACCTTCCTCTCTCATGTACTGGGTGGGACCCAGGGGATTTGTGCTTGTGGAACACTACCACTGATCTACAGCCCACCAACATCCTTTGTGTGTGTGTGTGGCAGAGTTGGGCTCACATGGGAGCCTAGGTGACCCTCCTGCCACAGCCTCTGGAGTAGCTGGGAATACAGGCTTGTGCCACCTGACCCGGCTCAACCTCCCTGCTGCAGCCATATTCACTATCAGCATCACAAAGGTGTTCATCTCTCTAACCCTGTGACACTGTACATTTGCAATATTTCTGTTTTGTTGATGTTGTTTGTTTGTTTGGGGTATAGACTGTCAGGATGTAGCCCTGCTTGGCACAGAGTTCAAAATCACTCTCTTGTCTCTGCCTCCCATCCCAACATGCCCAGCTAGACCAATCCTTATTTTTATTGAGCCTTCCTACCTTTCGTCTTCTATCACCTCCTTCCATTTCTTTCTTTTGGTAAAATCTTACCACATAGCTTAGTCTAGCTTTATATAGCTCAGGCTAGCTTTACATAGCTCAGGTTAGCTTGTTTGTTTGTTTGTTTTGTTTTGTTTGTTTTTCTAGACAGGATTTCTCTGTGTAGCTTCGTAGACCAGTCTGGCCTTGAACCCACAGAGGCCCACCTGCCTCTGCCTCCAGAGTGCTGGGACTAAAGGTGTACTCCACCACACTGCCCAGCTCAGGTTAGCTTTAAACTCATGGCACTCCTACTTCAGCCTCCTATGTGCTAGGATTACAGATATGAGCCATGTCCAGCTTTTTTGTTTGTTTGTTTGTTTCTTTATTCAGTCATCTTTTCTTCTACAAACCTTCCTTGATTCCTTATTCCAGCACTGACTTAGATCAACCCTGTCTCCAGTACTCACTCTAATTAAATTAAATTAATTAAAATGATCCCTTTTCTTTTGTTCGTTGCTGGTTAGTTGCTGAGGCAAAGAGCTGGACCAGCCATGTTTATGGTTGCAGGCTTGTGCCTAGCTCTGCGTGCTCTGCACAAAGTATGTGGTCTTTGAACATTTGTTGAATGACTCAATGCTCTGTATACT